ACATCTGGATTCACAATGTAAGTTTTTGAACTTGTAGGTTCTTCAATGTCCCAGTACTGATGAACAAGGCTGCTTAGCTTATCTGAATCACTCAGGAAGAAAGTAAAGTTGGCATGGATTCTCTCTGCCTTCCCATCTGGGTTACTGATACAAGTCCACCCCAAGTCCAAGTCAGTCTAGCAATGGGTTCTCCAGGTCGACCTTTCACATCTTTCAACGAGTACAGCAAGTCTGCTTGGTCCAGTCCAATTAACAAGGAAACTTGATGCCTTGCAAGTGTTTCCACTTGGACTGATACCTTCTCCAGTTGACGACTTCCATGTTGCCTGTGACTCTCTCTGTTGTGTAGGCTGACGCTTGTTTGGACTCCTTTCCATTCAAACTGCTAATTGTAAACTCCACCTCTGTTGTTTCAAACTTCTCCTGGTTGTCGTTCAGAACGGTTACTGTTAGCTCATGTGGACTTCCTTCAAGTCCAAGTTCTGCTGCAATGTCACTGTTCAAGTAGGTTTGCTGCTGCTGTCATCCAAGAGTGCATTTACTTTGATTTTTCTTTTTCCACTAGTCAAGTACACAGGGACAGTTCTCAATGCCACAGATTTGGTAGAGAAGGCAGGCTCTGCTCCAGTAGTGGTCTTGTGGGTTTTCTTGTGCGGCTCCCCTTCTCTAGCAGGGCCACTTGTGACACTTGTTGATGCATTCAGAAGGTTCACTCTACTTTGTTTCTCTGTGTTCACCCTTGGTACTGGGTCCTCATGAAACATCCGATAATGGTGGGACCGGCACCCATTTATTCCACAAGATTTGCTTTGGAAACATGACTCTCCACGATGGCCATCACTAAGACACCTGAAACACAGCTTATGCTCGGTTGCCACATTCCATCTATCATTCGCTGTTGTCATCTTGAAGTTTTTCCTCTTCCACAAACCATGGTGCTCTTTGCACAATTTGCACTTCCTTGTGGGCTTTTTCTTGGAACTATGATCTGTCACAGTTAAAAAGGTTCTCTCTCTCTTTGTTCCATCTTTAAGAACACCTGCTATGGTCTCAGAGGCTGTTGTCATGAACTCTGACTCCCAGTCAATGAACTCCCTTAATGCATTCACATGTTCACTCTTTCTGCTATCACAAATCCATTGCTTGTATTTTGCAAGAAGGTTCATCTTGAACTTGCGTTGGAGCCTGATGTAGAGTGATCCATTACCAAGTTCTGCCTGTTGTTTAGCATCTGTTAAGTTCACAACTAATGCATCCAGTAGCTCAACAAACTTCTCGAGATCCTTCTCGCTCCCTTCTCTTATCTGTTTGAAGGCTTCTAACTCTTTGAGATGTAGTGTGAGAACTCTACGTTTCCCACCATACTTCCATTGGCCTTGGCAGCTTCATATACTGCCTCAGAATGACCAAGATTCTCAATAACCTTCAGGGCTTCACCTTGGTGGCATTCATGCAGTCTTAACAACTTGTATTCAGGTGTAGCTCTGGCTTGGTCAACATACAAGTAAAAGGCTGCCTTCCAAGTCTCATAAGGCTTCTTATTTCCAGCAAATTTGGGAATGCTTACTCCCTTAAGTACTGCTGAGGAAACAATACCGAGCTGGTCATTGGCAGAGTCTAATGGCTGGCTTGTGCCAGGGGTTGACTGAAATTGCTTATGACTTGACAAAGGTTGTACTTCAGTTTGGGTTCCAGCTGCTGTTTCATACTCATGATGCGAAGATGCAATGGGTGGAAATACAGCAGATGATTGTACTGGCACAGTCAGACATAAAATGCCTTGCAAATATTCTCTTTCAAGCATGTACTCGCCGTCTTTTTTACCTGCTTTTGACTCCTTCGTGGCATAGGTGGTAATAGATAACAATAGCACTGGCTTTTCATTTAATTCAAAAACTCATTTATAATTCATGAGCCTAACAACCTGTCACGTCCACTAAAATCAATCATGTGCAGGTGTTTTATACCCCTGCAAAACACCGTCTAACGAAAAAGCCTGGGGGCAGCATTTGATTTCAATCCCTGGGGAGAGCGGCCTGATTTTATTTTGCATCATTGGTATTCTTTATATGAAAATTTCATCCTCATTAGTATTCATTATATAAAGAAACTCCATCTGCTGTCAAATCCTTCATTTCAGCAGTGTAAATAAGTTCAACCTGCAAAGTAATACACAAACATCAGACAAAATGCTTACTAACACTCTAGGAGAAAGCAAACAAAATTTATTCAACTACCTGTACTCATTCTTGTCCATTAGCAGTGAGGTATCAGTACCATTTGTCTCTTCCTGAAAGTGCTGAATGCCACACACAATGCTGTACAGTGACCATGTTGACTTTGCGGCAGCATTTTCAATTAATTGCCCCTCTTCCTTGGCATTTTTAGGCTTCCGAAAAGCTTTGGACTAGGATGCCATGTCCTGTTCAGTTAGTAGAAGAAAGTTCAAAACACATGTGAGATTTGATTTTCTTGCTTAATAATTTCCTACGTGATATTTTTTTCATATGCTAATTTCCAACGTTTGCAAAAGCATCATTGTTATCATCTCTATTGGGACTCACTTTTCTAGGAATGTCTTTGAAGACGTTCAATAAACTTGCAGTTGCGTGTTTTATTGGGTCTAAAATCACTCGCCTTCAGCTGGTGATTTTAAACCCGATAGAACACTGCTGCTTGTTTATTAAACATTACTTGATTTCATAAGAAACATATTTTCTAAATATTTCAATGCAGATCTTGCCAGTCAATTCAACAACTTGGCTTTTAAGTGGCCTGCTAGCCCACTGGGCTAGTAAAGTACTTTATTCACTAGCCAAATGAAACCTTTCACACTAGCCCTGGGATTCGGGCTAGCAGATTTTTTTAGCCCTGCAAGTGGACACTTCAAGGGCTTTTTACTAAAAGCTTAGCTCAGACTCCTTTAACATTGTTTAGTGATGTCATTCAAAGCTAAGTAGATTATTCCAGATCGATGCATTGACTGACTGGACATTGTACTATGAGCAGTCTTTAATCTTGCACTGTGTTATAAAAGGATTAATAATTAACTTTTATTGGACAATACAGTGAAACCTGTATATAACGGCCCTTTATCATATGGCTGTGTCTCACAAGGATTGGGAACTACCAAATTCACGAATTTGATTGGCTGAAATCGATATTGACTGCGGTCTAGATTTTCCCATCTAGACCGGCATCTGTAGACCGGTTTCATTTTGCATTGAAAAAGTAGCAAACTGAAATACAAAAATGTGCACCATTTTCTTTTATTGTCTTCTCAATCATTTATGGAAGTGCCAAAAAGCTTGATGACAAAAAAGAAGTAAAGAGGTTGAGCAAATTTTGGGCAGGTTTAAGTCAAGCTCATTGCCGTTCACTAGCAAAATGTCAGCAAACCATTTACATTAAACGAATTAAAGTTTTCTTCTTTGCCATATAATAAACATCTTATTAACCGAGCTAAGTTGGTCTGTATGGGAGAATCTTGACCTCGGTNNNACCTCGGTCAAGATTCTCCCATACAGACCTCCTGCTCGGTTAATAAGAGCTAAGTATATAGCGGTCATCCTGTGTTAACGGTCACTGAGCAACTTCCAAAAATTGTCCCTTATAATTTACTGTTAAGTTGACCTGCATATAGCGGTCACCTGTATACTACGGATGCGGTCACCCTTTAGACTTCCTGAATCCACAATTTCATTATCTTTTACCTCTATATTGGTCACAAAATTGGATCACAATTAGTGAATAATGACGAGCTTTATTCATCACCTTGTTAAATGGCAGCCACCAAGGCGGGGGTCTACTAATACATGTCATCGCCTGCGTTCCAACACATGCATGTGGCAGATAACATCAAAGGAGGGGGACATGGGGAATTGCAGTGTTACAGTGTGGATGTTTTTTTAATGCGGTGACGCGGTGAATAAAATCTCAACTGTGGTGTTGCGGTGATCTCAAACCCTACGGTGTGTGATGTTTGTGTTTTTCACACTGTCGTGTTTGGTGAAATGAAATTGTTTGTGGTGCTGGGGGTTTTTTATTTACCTTTCTCAAACCTAAATTTGACCCAAATTTAGCATGTAAACTTCATTAATCGATGCTAATTTATGACAAACACGTACCATTGAGGTAAATAATTTGTAAAAAAATACATACCATCACTTTCTAGTCAATCTTCAATATGCTTCGGCTGCCAATCCAAAGCTGTTTTCATTTATACGTACTGCTAGCCGGAGCTCAGTGTTCGGTAGGCACGTGGAGGAACGAGGACAGAAACAATGTGCTTATTTTGTGGAAAATTGTTGAGGTATAAAAGTATTATTTTACGTGTAGATGAACGAATCATGGCGCTAAAAATGCATGTTGCGGTGACGGTGTTTCATTGACTTTTCTTGCGCTGATGCGGTTTTCGTTAATTTTCCTTACTCTAACTGTAACAACACAACCATAACCACACTGTTTTCACTTTCGTCATAGTTACCTGATTATAACATTGTACTGTACTTACCTCTTTCAAATTGTTGTCAATAAATGTAAATTGAGTGGTTTTCCACTAAGAAACATTGTTCATTAGCTTTTAGTAGACTTTTACTGCACCTCCCTAAAAGTACACCATGGACATTTTATGGGCCTTCTTTATGGTGTTTATTACATTACTGTTACTCGTTATTGTCAATGAAACGTAAATTGAGTGATTATTTGCACATAAAAATGCTATTTATTGACTTCCAGGGGAGTTTAAAGGAAACGTGTGTTCAGCAGTCACCCTGTATATAACGGTCACCTGGCCATTTCCCAAGGGTGACCGTTATATACAGGTTTGACTGTATACACTGTAGTAGAACCTGTTGAGAGCAGACACCCTGTATTAAGCGGACAGTAGTGAGCGTTCCAAGGGTGTCCGCTTAATACAGGTTTCACTGTATACCAAAGATTTCTTGAAGCTTGACTTAAAATCAAAGTGATTTTCAAGTTTGTTGCTCTTTTTTTCTTAGCTGTCTGCTGAAAGTCACTTTATCAATGACCTTGGCTTAGACAGCTTGGATGTAGTTGAGATTGTCATGGCACTAGAAGATGAATTTGGTGAGTGCTCTTTGCTATTGTAGACATTTGAGGTTAAATTATATGTCTGCTGTGCACCATTGTGGTATGATACACTGTAGCGGGGGGGACATTTTAACTTCCAAGCCACCATTTTATTATACAGGGTGCAAAGAAAATCAATTATCCAAATTCCACTTTGGGCAAGCTGCAGTTAGGATGTAATAGCTACCCAAAATTCTCACAATTAATTTGTTAATTACTTTTTACTTGATTAATTAATTTGTTAC